TCACGAGAATATCTACGAACATGCCTCGATTCATCAAGTAAATAAGAAACTGGCGAGACTCCTCGAGAGCGGAGAACGAGGAAACTTCTCTTTCGAAAGGTTTGCGTCATCTTTCCGAGATTCGATCGAGAAGAAAAGCTACGAACAATCGACTGTCGACGAGGCAAAGGTGATCGAAGCACGGGGATAACAACGCGGCGGAAGATAAGGTTGCACTTTTGAAATTAGCTCGCCAGGCCGGAAACGACTTTTCTTCGACGAGGCAAGAAAGAAACAGGGTCTCTGGCCGTCGTTGCCGGGGCTTCCGTCGAGCTTAATCGAGAAAATGGCTGAACCGTGGCGCAGTGAAAAGAGGGATAGGCGCGTGATCTCGCGAGATCGGAAGCCATTTATGGTCCCTGATCGACTTAGAATCGTCGACTGCGTGTAATCTGCTTAGACGATGCTATTCTCCGACGTAATTACCGATAGATCGCCTTCTTCATCCCTTACCCGTTGAGGAAATTGCGATTTTCACGGAGCTCCTTCATTGTACATATTCCAAGATCATTTTTAGCTCTTAACGGTCCAACTCGCTCATTCTCCAACAAATTACACCTTTCTAATATCAAAATTCTCTTTACTCGCCAAAACGAGGGAAAAGCGTGTACGTTTAAATACGACAGAACAGAAACCTAAATAAAACTCGCCAAATATCCCCAATCATCGATACTTAATCCGAAACCGTATCACAAAGGAAGCCAATTTCACAGTCATTCGCCTGTTAACAACCTTCACGCCCTTAGACTAACGAAACATCAAAAACTTGGAGAAAAAAAACTTCAACGCCCTCGAGCGAGCACCGTCTCAGGGGTCGTCAGCCGAGTTTTTCATCAAAGGAAGAAAGGCCATGACAAAAGAGAGAAGAAAATGACGAAGGTGGAGAAGGAGAAGAAGAAGCAAGCCTGAGGGAGTACTAGAAAAAAAATAATGTACGGTAATTGACTCCGGTCTAACACCTTTAACGAGACTTACGCGTGAACCCTTTCATTCGATGGGGTGAAATCCACGCGAATGAGTGACGCAGCATCGTGACCATTTGTGGATAATGGGACGGAACGAGGCGGAAAATGGCACATCAAAAAGAAACTGGGACAAAGGAGACCAGCCGGTTGTCCACCTAATAAAGCAAAGTGGCTAACGATACCCAAGATGTTAGGGCTGATTTTCATCAGGTGTCCCTTTAGACGCCATTTATCTTTTATTATATTTTGCGAAGAAGCTGCTTTTTCACAATTCTGCTATTTTTAGCTAAATTAATCCTTTCACCGAAGATTTCAGACTTTTGCAGACTAACGTTCATATTCAGCAAATAACACACAGTAATAGTCTGGCAAGTATATCGTAGAGTGATACGATATCGGTGTTTGGCATCGATAGTGGCACAAATTTAAAAAGTTCCTGCTTTTATCGAATGGAACATTATCGCGCTATTCTTATTACGCAAAACAGTATATTTGTAATTCGATCGGTTTCGCGTCGCAAAACCGATTTATTATTTATACCGCTATCAATCTAGTCTTAGTTTTACGACACTGACTTCGGTTGTTTCGTGACGCTACAAGTGGAAGGTTCTACCGCTGTCGCGAATATCGGCGTATCTTTCGTTAAATCAACGTTACAATGTCGTTGAAACGATTCGCGAAGATGTCTTTGTAAATTTTAAAAAATCTCTCGCGTAAAATTTACATATTTTTGGATGAAACGAATCCTTAGATAAAAATAAAAGGTTAGATAGAAAAAGAATTTAGTCCAACTACGTGCCACGTAGGAAAGAAGTTCGTATACAGTTGACATGTATCTGGATGATTTTTGCGAGAACGATGACGAAGCGGATCGTTAACTGCAAAGGAGAGACAGACGAGAACAACGGGGGATTCGGTGACAAAGCCGGCCGCGTTCTTCGCTTTTACTTTGAAAACATACACGTTCTACTTTCCGACGCTCTATACGTTCGCCGCCGTTTCATAGCATCGCCGAAAAAGAGCGCGAAATTGTTAGCGGCCCACGAATATTCACAAAATTGCCAACGACAGCTAAATAATTAGTACTTTAATTAACACTTTTAGGTCTTCTGGCGAAGCTGCTATCCTAATCAAATATTCTTCCTATGTATAAAATGCCGCTAAATCGTAATTTTCGCAATTGGCCGTGTACAAATTGAGATTATCGTTAAAAATGTGATACAAATTAATCCCACAGTCTCTAAAAATTTCTAGAAGATAAGACGGTCAATTTTTACAAAATTTCTACATTCTACGTACTATCATAGAAAGATTTATAATAAAGTAATTTATTCTTGGGAAATAAATCGCGTCGTAGAAACAAACTTGGATTTCTAACATTATTATAAGCAATAGGTATAAAATGCACGTCGACTAACCGCAACCAAGTAAAATATTGCGAATTGTCGTAACACCTAATTGTCGTCATACCTAGGGAAAGCCTTGTGCAATCCATTTCAACTTAACGTAGCAAATATCAGTGACAAAAGACAAGAATCGAAATCTTTGAACCATTCCGTGGCTGACAAACTCTTGCCCCTTTTTTCCCTCCACTTTTTCCAGTCATGCAGCCGAATGATTAACGAGGGTTGCAAGTTTTGATGCACCCGGTGCACGTGCATCATCCACAGAGCTTACGAGCGGCTCACACAGCTGCCTCTATTCGCCTAAACTTCCGACATTTTTTCGCTCCTCTCACGTCACGCCTGACTGACAATAATAAATATTTCCCTCTGCCACCCTTTACCCTCGTCGACATCGCCAAGTTTTCCTTTTTTCACTCTCGGTCACCAGGGAAAACGTATTTTTTTTTCAACAAGGTTGATACGAACGATACACTAAATCAGACAAAACAGCGATTTTTTACAGGGATTTTACGATATTTAACCGCATCGTGCTACGAAGAACACCTATTTTTATTAAATTTACACAGTTTGTTTAAGAAATTGTATGGTTTGATAAAAAAAAAAAAAAAAAAAAAACTGCGTTTTCTTTCGACTCGTTGCCATTTCTACGATCGTTCAAATTTTTGCAAAATCCTATGCTATACTTTACCTCGTAGATTTCAGTTTATGAACCGAAAAGAATTTTCTACTTTAAACTTTTCAATTTTCGCAGGGAGATGTGTTCTACCAGAAGAAACATAATATCGACATTTTGGAATATTTCTTCTAGAAACATTGGAGGCAAAGCTGGAAACTGAACTAATACTAAATCGAAAAAATCTGGACATTTTGTCTTATAATTGTTTACGAAAGAAATTCTCAAACTACATACACCTATTTTCAGAATCTGAAAATCGTTTTATCGTAACCTTCGATGCATCGTGTCATCTTTACACATAACATTTTATTCTTCTATTAACGGAACAGTTTATTATTTCATCATCGTCACATTTCCAATTTTATTTTACTTTTCCTTAACTTCGTCAAAGATGGCCGCATAATTAATGTTGCTTTGCGACCAACAGGTGTGTCCGATTAATTTCCCTCGACCCGAGGCACAATTTATTATCACCTTTTTGCGGTTAACGTGACATAGGATGAATATTTCACCGTGCATTCCCATACCCCGTTAAGTATTTCATTTCAATTTCTGATCATTTTTTCCAGCTACGATTCTGAAAGTGTAAAAGTGGAAATTGGTTATCGTCGAAGCTGGAATATGACTGACGGAGTGATATTTTTGCAAAGCTGTCATAGTTCGAAATTTCCACAGCAGGACAGTGAAAAATAGATACGATTTTTTGACAGAGACATGGAACGATTGGTTAATCCTGTCAGGTGTATTTTCAGCGCAGAAGGGTACAATTTTTGAACGTGTTTTCGTTTGAACGAATGAACCTCGTTTAATGATTGGAGCTTAACTATCCTCTTCGAGAACAAATTTTTCCATTCGGAGTTAAAAATCAAATTTTTATTCAAATTCTTTATTCTACTCCACCCTTACCTTCTAATTAAATTATTTTATTTCTTCGTAACAGTATCACGAGTTTATTTTAATTCCAGACGAACTAGGTCATTCGTGCTGACGATTACGAAGATGGTGCAGGTCTAAAACTTGTTTGAAAGTTGGATTTTTCATTTACTTTATGTTCCATCGATCTATATCGCAGCGAAGATAATATAGAAAAAATGTTGCATGAAAAATATTTGACTTAAGTCACTTTCATAGTTGCTGGCACGTTTCAATTTTATATTTTGATCGATTTATCTGTTTCCCAAAGAATTTTTTGTTCCCCAACTTCGACAATATTACTTTTCCGCGAAGCTACACGTTTCCCTCTTCCTCCCACTCGGAGAACAGAAAACCAGCCTACATCTAACGGAAATTCGGACGCACAGGTGTATTTGAAACCGGAGCAGAGAGATGCCAGGTCCTCTGACCTACTCGATCTTTCGCTTCCCAACAGAAATTTTTCGCCGAAAGGACGAAAAATTCATCAAAGCTATAGGATCGCTTTTCCCTCGAAATACGTTATTTTTCAACTTGTTTTTATCCTGACCTGGCTCAATTATTCCAACAACATGGTATGCCTTTGCCCTTGTCCAACATCCATCCGCGATTTGTAATGTTCGAAGATGGAACAAGCGATTTCTGAATAGAGATCGTATCTCTCCTGTGCTCCATCTTGTGAATATATTTCTACTTTTTACGCTTTTGGAAAAAGACCTGGTGATTTATCGAATAAAAAAGAGATATCATTGTACAAACGAGTTTTAACATCGCTACATCGTATTCCCTAATTGTTTTCTCTCTTCGAGTTACTTTCACCTACGAACGCAATTTCTTGAGGTTTTAAAAATATCCACGTATTTTTTTAACGATTGAAAAAACAAGTTTAGGACAGTAAACTCAAAAGAATAAGAATGATCGAACTGTTCGACGAATTCGAGATGCTCGAGATATTTCGCTCGAAAAATTTAAGTTTAATAATTAATTTCTGTTGCCACTTACCTTCTTGGCGTCATTGTTGTTGTCGGCCGCGTGATGTGGTTGTGGACTCATTGCAGCACCATTGCTAACTGCTCCGCTTTGCGACAGAAGCTCGTCGCTACCCCTCTGCAACAATAAGAGAGACCAACAAACGTCAATATACGAACGAAAACCGTTTCAACGTAAATTCAAACTATTTTCACGACATAGTTCAATAAATATTCGTTTCCTAACACTACCCGAGTTCAAAATTCTTCCGCTTTTAAAAAATGAACCTTTCCATCCCAAATTCAAATTCAGACCACTTCCAAATACGGTCAAACAAGACTTGCTCCTAAATGATCTACGTCCGAATAAAACTCTCTATTGAAAATCCATGACGGAAAACATTTCATCTTTAATCCCAATTCAGATCGCTTTAACGACACGGTCGAACTAAAAATTTTGGTGTCCACCGTGACGGACAACGCGTTGAGTCTAACTCGGTGCGCTTCTCGTACCGCAATCGGCAAAAAATTCGCTTGCCAATCGCATGAACACCGAGAATCAAGACCCCAGCAAAGCCCTCTCTCTTCAAATCCAAAACCACTCCAATCCCCTTCTCTATTCCCAACCTAACCTTAAACCTCTCTGGCAAGAAACCAGCCAGCTTGCCGCTTATACGAGTCCCCAGGTGTATTATTAAAATCCTTCCAACTCCGTAAACACGTTTAACCGGCGATTCTCCGCGGTAACAGGATCAAGAGTCTCAGTCCCTGAGTCTAATTCCTCGAGCTGATCCCTCAAAGGAAACGCGACGATAAACGGGATACTCGCGTGTGCTCGATCGCGAGACCTACGATCCGATCGCTGGAGGCTCACAAACCAAGGAAACCTCATGGTGGATGCCCTGGATGGAAGTATGGCGACCTTTCAACGAGGAAAATACGCAGCTCCAGCTTCGAGATAATTCATAAGCTCGAGAGAGAGAGTGAGAGAGAGTGAGAGCAGGTCTGCCAGTCACCAGCTTTGGAGAGACAGAATGCTAGATCAAAGAGTCCCGCAGGATCACGCTTGCGAGCGGGTAAGAAAAGACGCGACTCCATGGATCTGAGAGTTGAAAACCCTTTGACGAATATTTATGGAAATCCTTCTCCTGGTCTTTAGTCGATAAGATGCGCTGTTGGTTGCATAGATGGAGATCTCCCGGCTCTTGTCTTGCCACAGCGAACTTCTTTCAGAACAGTAGACAATCGATATACACTAGAGTTACTTTAGAACTTAAAGGCGTCGAGATGACCAATTTGTAACTTTGTACGGATATTCTATAGATTTACAGCGACGCATTCTGGAGGCGTTGAATGATCTTTTATAAAATATATGCAAAGCTTTATATACTTTTTCATATAACTTCCATTTTCGTTGAACGAAGTGTAATGGGTAAAATGTTTATACAATGATAAAGTGTTTGGAGATACTTGAATTTTAATTGTATGCTTTTGTGGCTATCTGCAAGTTTAATTTTAGTTTTATTTTATGTTCGCGAACAATGTAAAACCAGGTCCAATTTCCAGGTCATCAGGACGAAATAAATAAGTTCGTATACCTTTCATTTCAGTTTCTTTGATACAATTTTACGCTTAATTTTAGTCGTCGGTAGTTCTAACGTTGATCTCATGTATTTTTATGTATTTTTCGTACACATGAAAATTGATTCCTGCAACATTGCTAAAGTTAGATTTAACGAAGTGTAAATCACTTTAGAAACGAGTTCTTCGATCCTCCTTCGGTAAACGCAAGAGAGCGATTTTTTTCAATTTTAGTAATTTCGCTTCTGTCTTGTAATTTCCTAAAAGTTCATGCAATCCGTTCGCCATTCACTGAACCACGAAGCCCATCAAAGATCTCGATCCGGTCCGCGGATGAGTGGAGAGAATTGAAAGACGAGAATCGAGAAACCTCTCTTCCGAAGATTCCATAATCCATAGATTCGCGGGAAGTAAATAATAGAGTAGGTCCGGTGGTGGTTTGGTTGCGCCGGATATCAGCCAAAGGATGAAGCTACCGCCGTATATCCGGCGAATGTATGAAACTCTCCTTCCTTCGTTTCTCCGCGTCGTAAGAGACTCTTAAAGAAGAGTTTTCCTTCTTCCACAGAGTCGGCTATGTTGTTGTATAATTGTATTTTATTTCTACTACAATTGATGTCGTCTTCTTCCTTACAAACCCCTCGACCATAGGAGAGAAAATCCTTTCAAATAGTCCATTTGTCAGAAATCTTATTTCAGTAAAATTATCACAAGTTAGTAGACGAAGCGATAACTACGAAACAAACGGAACTACCTAAACCGTCTCTTCTCCATAATTATTATAATAAATCATTATAACAAGAAGGGTTTTTCGTTACAGAAAATGCTTTCTGAGCAACCTCGATCACACCTTGGTCTATTCAAACCACTCGGAACCCTCGCAAACGACCACAGACCTTCAGAAAATACAAGCTTGAACGCCTCTATTCTTGGTTACATAACGTACACGTGCAGACAAAAAGCGAAAATCAATGATCGTGTAAGGCCTCCGTTCGTCGAACCACTTCAAACAAGTCGAAAATCTCAAGAAACCAAATTCAAACGTCACTATCCTCGATGAAACAAGGCACAAGCGTACCGAAATACGAAGAATTTGCTCGCAATTTCTCGGACGCTTAAAGTCTGGATCTCACGTGTCCGACGAGGCGCATAAAATCGTCTCACGATCGTCTGGCCAGCTGTCTGCAGTCCCTTCGGAGGGTCTTCGCCGGTTGACAAAGCAATTTCACGACCGAGCTGCAACGCGATCCGATGAGTTTCCTCACAACCTACCTCTCTCTCTCTCTCTCTCTCTCTCTTGCTCTTTCTCACCCCTGCGGTTATTTGCTGGAGGATTCGCGCGACTCGCATTAATTGCAGGGCAAACACGCGGTGCGCTCCGCTTGCTTGACAATTTGCTCGACGACATAGCTAACTGGGCCACGTTTCCGGCCCGTTACGAGTTAAGTTAGGGTGGACAATGGATCCTCTCTCTGACAGCCATGTTGGTCGTTGCGGGTTAATTGGTCTTTTTGGTACTTTCCGGAGATTTGTTTGACTAGCTCACTTTGGGATAATAAGAATGTTTTTGTGGAGATGTTTTGGATCCGTGTAATGTCGTTGAAATTTTGGAAGCCTCTTTTGTTTTAGCATTTTTATAATTTTGTTTTATTTGTGACATTTCAGGGTTATTATTTCGCTTTTGTAATTTTAGGAACTTATTTCAGGAATGTATTTATCGCGTGAAGTTCAAAATATGAGCTAGCAAAACTCGATATACGCTTTCAAGCTTCCACGATCTAATCATTATCAAAAACAAAGAAGCTTAATTTCCGACATCGATCTCAAATTCGAAACTTCAAACCGCAGAACCAAAATCTATCCTCCCGCGCTCCGCAAGATTCAAAACCAGAGTCCCGAACTACAAAATCAAAACCGAAATATCCTTCGATCGACGGGAAATCTCTTTCAACAAACTACGGACTTCGCCAAATCTTTTCAAATTACGTCAAACTTCTCCTAATATAAGCAATTCCGCGACAATTTCGCAAAGTCCACCAAAAATAGAACTTTTTATGGAATTAACAAAGAAACATCTATCGAATTCGATGAAAATCCCGTAAAACTTGCCCCTAAAATCGCGACAAGATGATGGATCGTGCCAGACGATCGAACTACCCTCGTGAAAGTGAGTTTTCACGCGAAATCTTTCGAAGAGGCTGTCGAGGATGAGCGTGGCTACACTTTGAGCCGGTGAAATAATATTAGCTCGAGATAGTCCTCGCGATAAGACGCTGCAACACAGAGCCGGTTATCGTTTTTCAAGATGGATGGCTCTGGTACCGCGTCACCGGGATTCGTGTATCGTTCCGGCAGACGCATATAGGTACCTGAAAGGATCTTTCGTGTCTGGAATTCTTTGGAAAATTGCGTAGGGATAAGCTAGTTGTACTTGGAATATCGCCCTTCTTTTCTTTTTTTCGGGGGTTTTGGGGATTTCGTCGTGGCGATAGCGAAAGAAGACGCAAATTCTTTTCTGAAATAATAATAATAATAAAAAAAAAAATTAACAAATTTGATACAATCACTGCGAACGTTCGGAATAAAAAAATACCCTTCTCGGAATAGAAAAAGACTTGGAGCAAAACTTCCAATTTTCTGACCTATTTGATACATCAGGACCATCAACTACAATACATAAATCACGTTGAAGCATATCAAGCATATGGTTCACGACACGCTATGTGAAAATACAGTTACGTTATGGTCGGAAGGTCAACAATCAAGCTATCGAAGAAACGGACAGGAAGGGTTGTTCCTACCCTCCGGCACAAATGGATCGTGATCCAAGTCTAGCTTGACCAGCAGGCTGCCAGAATCAAGAGTAGATCATTTCGTGTTACTACGACGTTGTGTCCAAGATTCAGCGTCTATTTGTCTCTTTATTCAGTCATCGATTTCTTATGGAAGCAGTGATATAGCGAACGATGTAACACAGAATATTAGAAATATAACGATACTCGTTGGCATAGTCGTTGCTTCGTGTTTGACGATCGGGAATCGTCAAGTTGAAAACCTTAAAACAGAAACTACTTTTAAATAAATAAAACCTAATAATAAATCGACAGATCAAGAAACCAGGCCGTAATAATACACCGTAAACTGTAACAATAAAACCAAAAACTAAGAAATCCATTATTATCAGATCATTACATTACATTATGTTATTGAATTAAAAAATTCAGGATTAAGAACGTAAAATTCACTATCCATAACAAGATCTCTGATTGATCGTCGAGATCAAGTCCGAAACCAAAAATCGAAGAACGTTAAATAACGAAGTTGCCCAAATCAACCCTTTCTCAAAGCCTAGAACCGAAGAAGGAAAGGAGGCAAAAGGGAAGATCCAGAAGTAAAGAAGGAAAAGGGAAAGAAGGAGAAAAAAAATTGGAAAACGACGAGAATTCGAGTCAGCGAGCCAGATAACCGAATGAAGATTTGTATGAGCCGGAAGATTTGTGTCAGCCTGTCGTGATTTTCATCGAGCCCCTTCTCTGGAGCAAATGACGCGGAAACAGG